ACGTTCGCGAGCAGCGCAACTCGTCCTCGAACACCCCGCACAAGCCTGCGTGTGCCATGGTAGCACACGAGAACCGCAGTGTACCTGTGAGCAGCACAGCATGCCTTCGGGCACCAGCATGTTAGGGGGGAAGGCCATAGAGCAGGACGACGACGACGACGACGACGACGACGACGACGACGACGACGACGTTTGCCGCCTGTTTCGCCCTCCGGAGGCCGTTTTCGGGCGCCGTCGACGACGACGATGGCGACGACGACGACGACGACGACGACAACGTTTTTCGCCTTTTTCGGACTCCGGAGGCCGTTTTTCGGGCGCCGTCGACGACGACGACGACGACGACGACGACGACGACGACGACGACGACGACGACGACGACGACGAACGAGGACGACGACGACGACGACGACGTTGTTTTTGTGCCTTTGTCGGACTCCGGAGGCCGTTTTTCGGGCGCCGTCGACGACGACGACGACGATTCGAGTACAAGCGCAAAGCCCGCAAGCACCAGCATCGCGCATGCGAGCGCCGCAATGGCCTGCGAGCGCCCACAGTGCGCCTGCGACCACCACACCACAGTGCGCATGCCTTCGGGCACCAGCATGTTGGAGGGGAAGACCGAGACCCCCCCCGCGTACGAGCGTTACCGTTACGGGGGGGGGGGGGGGGAGAGGCCCGGGTAACGAGCGTTACCCCCCAGAGGATAAAAAAACAATCTCCTAGTGGGCCCTATTCGGGGCTGTGGAGCCCTATTCAGGGGCCTTCCGACCGGATCAGGTCGGATGATGAAGCCTGGCCCAAGCCGGATTAAGCGGGATTGAACTAGATTAGGCAGGTGTCCGAACAAGGATATGCCTGCGCCGACTCCGAATTCAATCTCCCAGGTCTTTCCTCGTAAGTGTCGAGGGTGGGGCGCGCGAAGCCAGCGCCGAGCTCGGGGTGCGGTCGCTAGAGGAAGAAGCATGCCGACCCCGATCTCCGACTTTGTGGGTTCTTCGACTGGACAAGAAATCGGGGCCGACTCGGGTGCGTAAGCATGACATTCGATCCCATCTACTCGCACGCCACGCCATTTGGAGGGCCAGGATGGAGGCGCAAGCAGGACTGGCCACCACATTAAAACGCAGAGCGGGATCGAGTCGGAACGGGCGTCGGATCGGGCCGCATCAGCACCGAACTGGAATTGAACCAGGCCGGCCGCACCAAGATGCAACCGCGCGATGCAAGCATCGCACCGCATCGGATCGCCGAGACATCCGGTAGAGGGAAACAATTACCGAACACTCCCCCTCCCCTCAGACTCAAAGGTAGTGCGCACGGAGGAGACTGCGGTCGGAAAGCAGCTTCTCAGACGCATCGCCAATTCTGAACCTCGGGGGGAGGGACGAGGCTTCGCCAGTCGAATCTGGTGGGAATTTTCGCTATTTTTCGTTTCCGAGGCCTGTAGGAATCCAGTCGAATCGGGCCAGCCGGAATCGGCAAGGACTCGGACCGATCGGATCGAAGGGAACCCCTAGGGGGGGCCCGGCGGATGGCGCGCGGAAGCCGAGGCATGATCTTGCCGATGTTCTTGTTGCCCTCCTGCCGCGGAGGCCCGCCGCAGGTCGGCGACGGTAACACAAGAGGCCAGATGAGAGAGCCACAGGGCGCAGGTGATGCCTGTCCTCCCTCCCCAGTCGACCCTCCCCCTTCTCAGACTCTGCATCCCTCCTCTTCTTCCTCCACGCTCCTCCTCCTCCTCCTCCTCCTCCTCTTCCTCCTCCTCCTCTTCCTCCTCCTCCTCTTCCTCCTCCTCCTCCATTCCTTTTCCTTACTGTCGCACCCCGAAGCCAATTTTCAGGGCTGGCTGGGCGTTTCGCCTGAGACTTCCTCACCGATTGTGATTCTGACGCTTAAGAATTGGCATCAGTTTCGAAGATGGAGGCCGGGTCGTTTTCAAAATGTGGCTCTCGCCTCAGCGCGGCGCACACTCGTTTTTTGATTGCAAGAATTTCACGCGTTGAGGGCTGGCCGTTGTCAACATGTGGCTCTGGCCTTAGCGCGGCGTACATGAGGGCGGGCCGTTTTCAACATGTGGCTCTCGCCTCAGCGCGGCGCATACTCGTTTTCAAACTTGCGAGAGCTTCACGGATTGAGGGCGGGTCGTGTTCATTATGTGGTTCTCACCTCAGCGCGGCGTACATACGTTTTCAACATGTGCAAGGTGTTCTCGGATTGAGGGCGGGCCGTTTTCAAAATGTGGCTCTCGCCTCCGCGCGGCGCACACTCGTTTACAACATTTGCAAGAGCTTCACGGATTGAGGGCGGTTCCTTTTCAACATGTGGCTGTCGCCTTGGCGCCGCGCACATTCGTTTACAACATTTGCAAGAGCTTCACGGATTGAGGGCGGTTCCTTTTCAACATGTGGCTGTCGCCTTGGCGCCGCGCGCATTCGTTTACAGCATGTGCAAGGGTTTCACGGATTCTCATCATCATCAATGTGTCAGAAAGTGTGTTTAGAAAGATTTAAGATCATGCGGGTGCAGCACTTATGCTGCTTCGCTGTGCTGAAGTCCCACGAATGGCGTTCTGGCACGATTCGGGACTGTCAAGGCACAACCGTCGGGTTGATCCGTGACGTTGGAATCCCGAGAACCATGTTATGTTTTGGCATGCTTCAGGGTCTTCCAACGGTTGTCCTCCAGAGAGGCAGTCCCCTCAGTGGAAATGAACCGTGGTAGGGGGCCTATGCAGAGGGAGCTTGGAGGGAGGGCTTATTCCGACATCGTTGATGACTATTCGGTTTACACTGGTCCTCCTCCTCCTCCTCCTCCTCCTCCTCCTCCTCCTCATCGCTTCTGCTCTCCCCTCTCCTCCCCTCATCCTCTCCAGTCGACTCTCCCACTTCTCACGTTCCTCTGCATCCCTCCTCTTCTTCTTCCTCCTCCTACTCTCTTCTGCTCTCCCCTCTCCTCCCCTCATCCCCCCCCCTTCCCCAGTGCTGCTGCCGCTCCTCAACCTCCAGAATCTGCGCGGGAGCAGAGCGAGCAGGGGACCGATACCTCGCTGGTCGTGCTCGCGGTCCTCATGTGGTAGGAGACGACCACGCGAATGGAGGGTTTCTCCGAGGGGCTTAGGCGACCCGTCCTCCTCCTCTCTCCTCCTCCTCCTCCTTCTCTTCCTCCTCCTCCCCCTCCCCCTCCCCCTCCTCCTCCTCCTCCTCCTCCTCCTCCTCCTCCTCCTCCTCCTCCCTCTCTTCCTCCTCCTCCTCCCGCTCCTCCTCCTCCCGCTCCTCCTCCTCCCCCTCCTCGCCCTCCCCTCCTCGGGTCGCCTACGGCTCCGGGGGAGAAAACCGTCCACACACACGACCGAGGAGATTGGCCTAACCGTGATACGGCAGGCTCGCGTCGTGTCGACCCAGGCGCTGGCTTCTGACACCGCGAGGATCGTTCAACCTTGAACGATCGGCCGCTTCATAAACGTGGGATCGTTCAACGATGGGCCGATTCTGGGCCACCCCAGACGCCGACGTCTCGATTCTGTTCAAGACAAGGGCCCCCAACCTCCCGACCACTTCCCCGGGACCGGTGTTTCACCCCGAATAGTTTTTTGACGGTCCCGAGGCCCAGTGAAGGCCCTCAGAGGCCAAAAACTACGAAGAACCTCCGTCTCGGTCCTTGTCGAGACCAAGGACTGCGAAAAACCTCCGTCTCGATTTTTACGAGACGCCCGATGTCTGGGACGGCCGGCGTTCAACCTTACACGCCCGCGCTGGGGCTGCCGCCGGTCGACGCGACGCGAGCCTACCGTGTGCGTACCCCGTCGGGCGCAGGCAGATGCGCCCGCACAGGCCGTCGACTGGCCTCGCTAGCCTGTGCAAGTCGAGGGGCGGGGATCCTCCTCCTCCTCCTCCTCCTCCTCCTCCTCCTCAACCACCTTCTCCTCCACCTCCACCTCCTCCTCCACCTCCACCTCCACCTCCTCCTCCACCTCCACCTCCACCTCCACCTCCACCTCCCCTCCTCCTCCTCCTCCTCCTCCTCCTCCTCCTCCTCCTCCTCCTCCTCCTCCTCCTCCTCCTCCCCTCCTCCCCCTCCCCCTCCCCTCCTCCTCCTCCTCCTCCTCCTCCTCCTCCTCCTCCTCCTCCTCCTCCTCCACCTCCTTTCTTATCCTTGAAAACAATCCTTCCCTGTCGCACCCCGTGGCGCGTCGGTCGGGCGGGCCGCGGGCTGTCAGAGCTGATCGAACGCTCGACCTGGCCTCGTGGGGACGGCACCCCGGGACGGGGTGGGGTAGGTCTCTCCGCAGGTCTTCAGTCAGCTCGTCGTGCCGCCCGTGCAGGCGGCCACTGCCCTCTCCGTGCATGGATGTGCTGATCATGCGCGCAGCACGCGCTCTGCCCGGGTGCTCATGCATTCCTAGTTCCGATCGAGGGATGCTCGTGGGTCACTGGCCGCCTGTTTCTATTGTCTCCCTCTATCTGTCTGTCTGTCTGTCTGTCTGTCTGTGTCTGGCTGCCTGCCTGTCTGTCTGTCTGTCTGTCTGCCTGCCTGCCTGTCTGTTTGTCTGTCTCTTTTTGACTCTTTTTGACTCTCTCTCTCTATATATTTATTTATATATATATCGTTAAAACTGTTTGAGTATATCTCTCTCTTTCTCTATTTCCACCTCTCTCACTGTCTCTCTCTCTCCGCATTGCCTCCGTGGGCCGCCCGCGCCGTAGATCGCCCACGCCCGCGGAAGCAGAAGGGGGGAAGAAGGCGGAGGAGGCCGGGGGAGGCGAGCCCGTGCGGAGGGTGGTGCTGGTGCTGGTGCTGGTGATGGCGGTGACGGCAAACGGTGGTGACGACGATAGTGGTGATGGTGAGGGCGGCCACGGCGGGACATGGCGATGGGATGGGGATGGGGATGGTGGTGATGGTGGTGGCGATGGGGATGACGGTGCTGGTGATGACGAGATGGTGGTGACGAGATGGGCGGGCAACGGCGAGGGAGGGGAAGGCGACGGGCCCGGGGCGGCTCCATGCGCTCGTGCGCCAGGGCGGCCTCGTCGAGCCGGAAGCGGCTCGAGTCCAGCACCACGCCGTAGTCCTGCCAGCTGAAGCGATCCTGCCCTCCCCGCGCAGCCAGGCAGCCTTGCCGCTCCAGCAGGAGGACCCTCCCTCCTCCTCCTCCTCCTCCTCCTCCTCCTCCTCCTCCTCCACCTCCTCCTGCTCCTCCTCCTCATCCTCATGGGCGGCCACGAGTTGCCGAGAAACCGAGAGCCGACCGAACCGATGACGAAACCGAAACCGATCGAAACCGAAAGGGGGCCTGCAGAACCGAATCAGCCGACCGAAACCGACCGAACGCGAAAACCGAACTGCAGGGTCACAGTGGCGCAGCCATCATGCGCTCTCGCTCCTCCTGCTCCTCCTGCTCCTCCTGCTCCTCCTACTCCTGCTCCTCCTGCTCCTGCTCCTGCTCCTCCTGCTCCTCCTGCTCCTCCTGCTCCTGCTCCTGCTCCTGCTCCTGCTCCTGCTCCTGCTCCTGCTCCTGCCCCTACTCCTCCTCTTCCTCCTCCTCCTCCTCCTCCTCCTCTCCTTCCTCCTACTCTTCCTTCCCTCCTCGTCCTCCTCCCCTTCAGCAGGGGGACAAGGGACAAGGAGAATCATGAGGAGTAGTAGGATGAAGGCTACGGGACAAGAAAGAGCAAGGAGATGCGGTCGAGCTGGCCGCCAACAAGACGTCCTGGCCAAATCACAGTAGGACCCGTGTCGGTCGCAGACAGACTGCCCGAGACTAGGCAGGGAACAGGAGCTAGCGCCCAGGCGGAGAGGATGATGATCGGGTGGATGGGATATAGGATGGTGCTGCTGATGATGATGGTGATGTCGATGCTGATGATGTTGGTGATGATGATCATGGTGATGATGATGGTGATGATGCAGATGATGACGATGACGATGGTCGGTGGCGATGATGCTGATGATTATGACGACGATGCTGATAGTGATAGTGATGATGATGATGATGATGATGATGAGGATGGTGATGATGATATTGCTGCTGATGATGCTGATGGCAATGATCATGATGATGATGAGGAGGCGGAGGAGGAGGAGGAGCAGGAGGCCTATGACGAGGATGATGATGATGATGATGCTGATCGTGCTAATGATGTTGATGATAATTAAACAGAATGATGATGACGATGATGAGGATGCTGATGATGATAATGATGAGGATGTGGAGGGTGATGCTGATGCCGATGACGATGGTACTGATGGCGGTGATGCTGATGATGACGACGATGGTACTGATGGTGGTGATGATGACGAGAATGATGATGACGATGATGGTGATGCTGACGATGTGGATGGTAATGATAATGGTGACCGGAATGTTACTCACACTGATGATGACGATGATCATGATGATGATGGCGATGGTGGGTGGTGGTGGTTGTGGTAATGGTGGTGGTGATGATGATGGTGATGGTGATGGTGATGGTGATGGTGATGGTGATGGTGATGATGATGATGATGATGATGATGATGATGATGATGATGATGATGATGATGATTATGATGGTGAGAAGGAGGAGGAGGCGGAGGAGTGGGCGGAGGAGGAGGAGGAGGGGAAGGAGCAGGAGGAGGAGGAGGAGGAGGAGGGGAAAGAGAGGACGAGGAACATACTGCGGATGGGGTGACAATCACAGAGAAGATGGTGAGGAAGAATAAAGGTGGAGGAGCTAAAGGAAGATGAAGAGGATGAAAAGGATCAAATTGGCTATGCCCGAATACGTAATAGGCCGAGGAACATGACGATCTGTCCGAGGAGGAAAAGAAAACGATGAGGGTGAGCAATAGGAGAAAGAGGTGCATGATTATCAAGTCAAGTCAAGAAACCATACGCCCATTGGCGCGTGGGCGAGACAACGCATTGCACTGTGCTGCTCCTGGTGGGCCTTGCCTCCGGCAGGGCGCGCGGGCAGATGAATGCGAAAATTGGTGCCGCGACGGACGCTAGAGAGCAAGCCGCAACACGACTTTGACACAGAAAAAGAACGGTGCGCCACACGACTGTGAAGCAGACAATGTAGGACAATACGACACGATTGTGGGGAAGCCTAAGCAGAGGGGAGGGAGGAGAGAGGAGAGGGGGGGCAACTAGATTCAAGCGAACTGCCGCATCATTCGTGTTCTTGAACAAACTGTGAAACAAACCGGCACCAGAGTCGAATGTCTGCGACGCACTGGAAGAGATCAGCATCGGATTCGAAGCAACTCCTGATCTTATTCTACAAACACTTCGCCCACTCGTGCCTTCCGCTGGGACCCCTGCAGTGCAAGCACCGATTGGGGAATCACGTCGAGGCAGGCGTTTGCGAGTAGACACCCTGCGAGCAGTGGAGCGCGTTCGGTGACTCCTGCGCTGGCCGAGGCCTCGGCCCCCCCTTGGCACCTGCGAGGCGGGGTCCCGAGGCGTGCTGGTGTGAAGGGGCCCAGGGACACATAAATAAATACAACCAAATCCAAGGATTCCCAATCTATTTTCCAATCTTTCCAAGGTGTTTGTCTTCCTTTCCACTTCCCATAGTTTCCCGCATTTTCCTGGGATTCAAGGATTAATTGTGTCTGTGTGCTCAATCCTGTTGGTGGCGAGCCCAGCGGGGAAGCCAGAAGGGGGGCGGGCCTTCTCAGAAGGCTCCGAAATTCCGCCGGCCTTCCGGCACAGACGACGAGCCTTCTGCGCAGACGGGGACGCTGCCGCTCAGAAGGCCGGATGGCTTCTGCGAGGCCCCGCCGCCTCCCGACGAGGCCTGCCCCCTTCTCGCTTCGCCCCCGGGCGCGCCGCTGAACCTGGGGCCCGAAGGGCAGGCATGTGCACCCCTGCACAGCGCAAATGAAGGGGCCCCAGGACACACACAAATAAATACACACCAATGAAAAGTTTCCCCATCTTTTCCCATATGTTCTGGGTTTCAGTCTTCCCCCCCCCCCTTCCCTCTTCTCTGGGGAATCGAGGATTCATTGTGTGTGTGTGTGTGCTTTGTTTTCCCCTCCTGCGCGAAGAAAGAGTCCACCACGGAGGCCCTCTCTCCTGCCCTCCGGGTCCCGTCCCTCGGCGAGGCCCCCGCCGCCCGCCCCGCCCGCCCGCCCGCCCGCCCGCCCGCCCGCCCGCCCGCCCGCGCCCGCCCGCCCGCCCGCCCGCCCGCCCCTCCTCCTCCTCCTCCTCCTCCTCCTCCTCCTCCTCCTCCTCTCCTCCTCCTCCTCCTCCCTCCTCCTCCTCCTCCTCCTCCTCCTCCTCCTCCCTCCTCCTCCCCACCCCCGCACGTTGTCGGTCGTGTACTTCACGAACCGCTGCGTGATGTCCACCCGGTAGGCCAGGCTGCGGGACCGCAGGGTGGTCGCCTTGGGGGGCCGCGCGCGCGCGCCTCCGCGCCGCCGCGCCGCGCCTCCGTCGCCCTCCCCGCGCCAGCTGCGGCCGCGCCGCCACGGAGCCCCGCCCTGCCCGAGGGCGCCTCGACTCGCGCGCCGCGCCGCGGCGCGACGCGCGGCGCGACGTCGCGCGCTCACGCCGCCCCCCCCCCCCCCCGCCCCGGGCGAGAAGAGGACGAGGAGGAATCGAAGCCGAATTGCAGAGCGCGGCGCGCGAATAACTGCGCGCCCTCGAGGGCGCCCTTGCCGATGGGTACGCCGCGGCTCGTGTGGTGGCGACGCCTGCGCTGGCTTCTGACGCCGCGTTCAACCCTGAACGATCGCGGCGTTCCGATCATGCAGATCCCTCGATAGCGACCGATTCTGGGCTGGCGGCGCTCCATCCTGAACGCCCACGCTGGGGTCGCCGATGGGTCGACACGCGTACTCAGTAGACCCCGGACTCGGAGTGGTGCAGGAAGGTGGCGCTCTTCTGCCACCTTCCTGCGCGCTGTCAACGTGTCAATTACTGTGTGCTCCTCTCGGTGCACTGAGCCGGCGGCAACAGAGCAACGCTAGCGGCGGTGGCTTTACCCGCGACGGCCGCAGCGATCGCGGCGACAACGGCCAGGCTCGAAACGACACGAGACACGACCAGCAGCCGTGACACACACACACACACACAGACACACACACAGACACACACACAGACAGACACGCACACACACAGACACACACACACACATACACATACACACACACACACACGCAGGCACACACACACACCACACACACACACCACACACACCACACACACACCACACACACACACGCCTGTCAGCACTTCCAGACGCCCCAATGAATTCTCGGGATCGCCGGCGCGCGCGGACCCTGGTGAAGCCTCGCCCCCCCGCTCCCGGCGCCCGTGGGGAGCCCTGGAGGAGCGCCGGCGCACTCGGGTCCGTGCGGGACCTCGCCTCCTCCCGCGCGCTGCCAGCCGCAGCCGCAAGCACACGCAGCCATTGCCAACTCCTGGCCCCCTGGAGACAGCCCTGCGGAACGCCGAGGCGCGCGAACCAACATGTGAGACCTCGTTACTTCTGTGTTTCAGAGATGGGGTCCTGAGAGATGGGGCCCTGAGGACGAGGTGCCCCTCGAACAACTTAAATCCACCCCCGGGTCCCTTCCTTCCCCCGAGGACCCCATCCCTCAGGACCCCATCTTCGAACCACCGACTACTGCTGCGCCGCACCCACGCGCGCACCACTCTCCGCCTATAGGTAGATATATAGATAGAGCGACGCCGAAACGGCGGTCCTGCCTCATGGCCGAGCACTCGGCTGCCCCGCTTAGCGACTCGTAGTGCAACGACGTGTGCAGCACTAGACACACACGCCCCTTAGGGAACGAAGTCGAACGTCTCGCCGCGCACAGGCGGGGGCACTGGCGCATCAGCAGCCGACATCGACTCTTGAGATCGGATGGGATCGGAACGCGCGTCAGAGCGGGCCGCACCCGCACAGAGTCGAGGTCGAACCAGAGCGGCCGCGCCAAGGTGCACGAGAGTACCAGTCGAACATCATCCGACCGTCGGAACATCTCGGCCTGAACCGACAGTAGGTCCTGAAGGAAGACGGGTCCTGGGCCCCGGGGCGTTCCCCCAGGACCAATGGTTCCTCCCAAGTGTTTTTGTTTTGGCCCTGGAAACCAGGGATGGCCCCGAGAACCTGAAAACGGCGGAAAGCATCAGGCCCCGTCTGCTGCGTGGCAAAACATCGTAGCGGATCAGATCGAGCCGACCAGAAACGATGATCAGCAAAGAGGAGGGCCAGAATCCTTGGGAATCGGGGGCCTTTGTGCATATGTAGCACACTAAGCCACCCGTACGTATCGGGAAAATTCTGGGGACCTAAATTGGGTCGCGAATTCATTGCGTTATTCGGTTGAGGTTTGTGTTACGCATGCGGTAGATTCGCGCGGCGTCGGCTCGCGCAGTGGTTTTTGACAACGCATCGATCGTTCAATCCTGAACCGATCGCGGCCCCGATCGCTCAAGGTTGAACTCGGTCAGGTCCAGTGGCGTTGCCGCATCCCTCGGTGCTTCTGCGCCGCAGACTTCAGCCTTGAACGCCTTCGCTGGCGTCGCCAGCGCGCCCACGCCGCACGCACCTACGCGCAACGAATCGAAATCATGTCGGATATGGACCCTGCACAGGTGAAGGGGCCCTGGGACACACAAATAAATACACGAAAATAAAAAGATCCCCCATATTTTCCAACATTTTCTGGGTTCCTGTCTTCTCCCCCACTTCCCATATTTTCCCATATTCTCGGGGGAATCGACGATTAATTGTGTCTGTGGTTTTTCCCTCCTGAATGGACCCCGCACAGGGGGGGGGCGGGGGCCTCCAGCCGGATGCGCTTGCGGAGCAGGGCCTCCAGCACGGGGCCTGCGGGCAAGAGCACCGCGGCGGAGGAGGAGGAGGAGGAGGAGAAGGAGGAGGAGGAGGAGGAGGGGGAGGAGGAGGAGGAGGAGGGGGAGGAGGAGGAGGAGGAGGAGGAGGAGGAGGAGGAGGAGCCAGGGCTTGGCTTGCGGGCCAGGGGCACGGGGGGAGCGGCAAGCAGAAGGGGAACGAACAGTGACAGAAACAAACAAACTCGGAGGCCCGCGCGGGTTTCTGGGATCGGCGCTGGAGCACCTTGGGCCAAGGGCACCTCTAGCAACCCCCGATCTAGCCAACCGCCCTTGCCGGCATGCTGCCTTGAAGCGTGTCCCGAACGGGGCGCTTCGGGCCCGCCGCAGCGTGGCGCTGCCACCGACCCACACAGGGGCTCTGCCCGCCTCCCTTCTCCCTCCTGTCCCTCCTGCCCCTCCTCCTCCTGCTCCTGCTCCTCCTCCGCCTCCTCCTCCTCCTCTTCCTCCTCCTCCTCCCTCCCTCCTCCTCCTGCCCTTCAGCCCTCAAGCCTTCCTCCTCCTCCTCCTCCTCCCTCCTCCTGCCTTATTCCTCCCTTCATTCCTCCTGCCCCCCTCCCCTCCTCCTCCTCCTCCTCCTCCTCCTCCTGGGCCTCTCCTCCTCCTCCTCCTCCAACTCCTCCGCCTCCTCCTCCTCCTCCTCCTCCTCCTCCTGCTCCTGCTCCTCCTCCTCCGCCTCCGCTCCGCCTCCTGCCTCCTGCCTCTCCTCCGCCTCCGCCCCCTCCTCCGCCGTTCCCTCCTCCTCCTCCTCCTCCTCCTCCACCTCCTCCTCCTCCTCCTGAAAGTCTGCGAACTCCTCCTCCTCCTCCTCCTCCTCCTCCTCCTCCTCCTCCTCCACTGTTTCTCCCTAAGAGAATTCCCCCCCTGCCGCACCCCCATCTGCGTCCGCAGGCTGGGCAGGTCGTCTCACCTGAGACTTCACTACCAAATGTGGCCCTGTAACTGAAACTGCGAACTACATCCAAATATTGACGGCTGGCCGTTTTCAAAATGAAGGTCTCGCCTTATCGCCGCGCACATTGTTCTAATATGCTGGCAACAGTTTGAAGGATGGAGGCGGGTTCTTTTCAAAATGTGGTTCTCGCGTCAGCGTGCGCGCGCTCGGCTTCAAAATGCAACATGTTCAATCATTGGTAAAGTTCAAGTATCAGGAACTGCTATTTCTGACACGAATCAAGATTGTCAGGACGCAAGAGCCAATAATATTCAAAGAGTTGAAGTCTCAGGAATGACATGTTGGCACAGCATAGGATTCCGAAGTAGTTTTTTGAAATTAAAGATTAGCCAAACCCGATAAACAAAATTGTCATGTAGAATTGTTTGTTACTGTTCTTATATTGCCCTGGCGAGGCATTCCCCCGTTTGGAACCTGGGGAGTGCAATCCTTGAATCTTTGAGCTCTTCGCACGGCTGTCTTTCAACGGCCATTTCGACGAATTTCGGTTCGCAGATACCTATCACAGGGAGGGAACATTGGGGGAGGGCTCGCTGCAACATGCATCGTTGACGTGTCTTGGGTTTGCAGTGGTCCTCCTTAGGGGACCACATGCGAACCCGACCCCTGCCCCCCACGATTTCTGAGGGGGAGGGTGGGGTTCACTTTGTTGGGGACTCCCGAGCGAAGTGAATCCCATCCTCCCCCCCAGAAGTCGTGGGGGTAGGGGTAGGGTTCGCATGTGGTCCCCTACTCCTCCTCACCCTCCTCCGGAGGCGAGGTGACAGCAGTCCGCGCGCGCTCGTTGGTCGTGTGCCGGCGCAAACCCCCCCGTGCGAGGCGCCAGCCCCCCCCAAACGCCGCCGCTGGTCAGCGCCAGGCAAGCGCGCCCGGCAACCAACCAGCGGCCGCATTCCGCCGAACTCCTCCTCCTCCTCCTCCTGCTCCTCCTACTCCTCCTCCTCCTCCTCCTCCTGCTCCTTCTCCTCCTCCTCCTCCTCCTCCTCCTGCTGCTGCTGCTGCTGCTCCTCCTCCTCCTCCCTGCTCCTCCTCCAGCCTCCCTCCTCCTCCTCCTCCTCCTCCTCCTCCTCCTCCTCCTCCTCCTCCTCCTGCTCCTCGTCCTCCTCCTCCTGCTCCTCGTCCTCCTCCTCCTGCTCCTGCTCCTCGTCCTCCTCCTCCTCCTTTTCGTTCTCCTCCTCCTCCTCCTCCCTTTTTTTCTCCTCCTCTCCTCCAAGGGCGCGCCGTCGACACTGGCCCCGCCCATCAGGCCGTAGAGCACCCACCGCCCGCCCTCGGCGAGCACCTGCCGGGTGGGCGCGACCCGCCCGTCCGCCCCCGCCCGCCCGCCCGCCCGCCGCCTCCTCCTCCTCCTCCTCCTCCTCCTCCTCTTCCTCCTCCTCCTCCTCCTCCGCCTCCTCCTCCTCGTCCCCTCGTCGTCCTCCCTCCTCCTCCACCTCCTCCTCCTCCTCCTTCTCCACCTCCTTCTCCTCCTCCTCCCCCTGCTCCTCCTCCTCGTTCTCCTCTTCTCCACCTCCTTCTCCTCCTCCTCCTCATCCTCCTCCTACTCCATGGCAGCGCGGACGTCGCCGTCGCCGTCGCCGTCGCATTCGTGGCGTCGTCGTCGTCGTCGTCGCTGTCGCCGTCGCCGTCGCCGTCGCCGTCGTCGTCGCCGTCGTCGTCGCCGTCGCCATCGCCGTCGCCGTCGCCGTCGCCGTCGCCGTCGCCGACGCGCCGCCGCCGTCGCCGCGTCGCCGTCGCCGTCGTCGTCGTCGTCGTCGTCGTCCGTCGTCGTCGTCGTCTCGTCGTCGTCGTCGTTGTCGTCGTCGTCGTCGTCGTCGTCGTCGTCGACGTCGACGTCGACGATATCTTTGTCGTCGTCGCTGTCGTCGTCGCCGTCGTCGTCGTCGTCGAGCTTTCGTCGTCGTCGTCGTCGTCGTGGTCGTAGTCGTTGTCGTCGCCCTCTTCGTCGTCGTCATCACCGTCGCCGTCGCCGTCGCCGTCGCCGTCGCCGTCGCCGTTGCCATCGTCGTCGTTGCCGCCGCCAACGTCGTCGTCGACGTCGCCGTCGCCGTCGCCGTCGCCGTCGCGGCAACCGCCGACGCCGCCGCCGCCACCGTCGCCGTCGCCGTCGCCGTTGCCGTCGCCGTCGCCGTCGCCGTCGCCGTCGCCGTCGCCGTGGTCGTCGTCGTCGTCGTCGTCGTCGTCGTCGTCGTCGTCGTCGTCGTCGTCGTCGTCATCGCCGTCGCGGTCGCCGTCGCCGTCGCCGTCGCCGTCGCCGTCGCCGCCTCCGCCGCCGCCGCCGCCGTCGTCGCCGCAGGCGCCGCCGTCTTCGTCGACGTCGTCGCCGTCGTCGACGTCGTCGTCGGCGTCGTCTCCGCCGAGGCCATCGGAGGCCTTCGGAGGGCCTTCGCGGGGCCTCCGGAAGGGTCTTCGGAGGGCCAGAGGGGCCTCCAAGGGGCTTCTGGAGATCCTCGGGGGCCGATGACGAGGACGGGGAAGGGGACGCGGCGGGGATGGAGGGGGCTCCTCCCTCTCCTCTCCCTCCTGCCCCTCCTTCTGGCCTTTTTCTCTCTCCTCATTCTCCTCCTCCTCCTCTTCTCCTTCTTCTTCTTATTATTATCATTATTATTCGCATTCTGATTAGTATTATTATCATTCTTCTTATTCTTCTTATGATTATGATTATGATTATGATTATTATTATTATTGTTAGAATCACTATTAGTACTATGATTAGTATTATTATTACTATTGATGTTATTATTAATATTATTAAATGTATTATTATTATGATTATTATTATTATTATTATAGTATTATCATTATTATCATTATTATTAGTATTATTATTATTATTATGATTATTATTATTATTATCATTATCATTATTATTATCATCATTAATGATACTATCATTATTAGTATTGCTGTTGAGATTAGTATTAATATTGTTATTATAATTCCTCCTCCTCCTCCTCCTCCTCCTCCTCCTCCTACTCCCCCTCCTCCCCCTCCTCTTCC